CGGCAGTAGCGTAGGCCACTGAATACACCAACAGCAAAGAAAGAATTGAGCATGGCAAAAAAAAAAAAACGCTGCTGATTGGTAATCGAGGTTCCCAACAGCATGCTACCCAAACATTGGCTCTGAATTTACGAGTAATTCTCAAAGTCATCTGGGCATCGCTCCCTGTTTCTCTAAATGATGTCATATACCCAAATGAATGCGCCATATACACAAGCTGCACGGCCGCTGGGGAATTTTAGCATCGTAAGCTGCATAGTTTTCATGGCCGCCGTGGGATGCCGCCCCATGCCCGCTGTCGCACTGAAAGTAAGCTGCGCGTTCGATGGAAGAAGAAAATATTGGGCTTTAAGTCCTCACGCGTGCTGACCCATGGTACGCTTTTTCTCGTACCCTTGTCACGTCCTTGTCTGGGCAGCTTTTAGCGTGCTTACCTGAAAACGTGTTGCGAGGCCTCTGCGTATGCACATTAGTACCGCGATATTTCCCCGAAGTATTCTTAGCGGCTAAACTTTTTGGACATGTGAGGATCACTTGAGTTTCACGATATGATGCAAACGCAGATGCGATGAACAATTTACTGTAGATTGACCGTTTCGTGGATCTTTTCAACATTAGCTTTTTCGCGGTGTTAACTGAACATTGCTCTGCCGCGGTGGTCTAGTGCCTAAGGTACTTGGCTGTTGACCCGCTGGTCACGGGATCGAATCCCGCCTGCAGCGGCTGCATTTTCAATGGAGGTGGAAATGTTGTGGACCCGTGTGCTCAGATTTGGGTGCACGATGTTTTTCATATTATTATGGTGGTTTTGGGACGTTAAACACCGCATATGAATCAATAAGCTGAACATAGTGCGTTTATAGAAGACATTTTCACAAATACGGGTGTATGTGTTGCAAAGGTATATTTGACCATTATAGTGTTTTGGGAAATTTATTTACGAAACGCGGTGAATAACTAAAAACTTACCGTACTTTCTTGCAGAACTCGCCACTCATCTAAAGTTGTAGTAACCCACTGCGACAGACAGCTGCATGAACGACATGCTATGTGATGGTGGAACAGCGTTTATTGATAGCACCGTTGCAACATATATGTAGTGCTGGGGCGAAAGGATTTGCGGAAGGGTAAATCATAATTACATATCACACAGGAGCAGGGGTAAAGAAAGAGGGTGCATGAACATGCTCGCTCACAGCCGGCTTGTCTGGTCAGCAGCAATAAACAACAAAGAGAATATAGCAAAATAAAATTCTGAACTTGACAAAAACTACACCTTGCCACATGTGGAGAGGTTTTATAACAAACTAAGGTGATCCGAGAAAGAATAAAAAGCGGAATCCGCATTGGCCGTGAAGTGGACGTTGCTCGGCTGCTGACTCGAAGGTAAAGGGTTTGATCCCTACTGCGGCTGTAGCATTTCGATGGAGGTGAAATCTTGAATGCCCATGTATACTTTGAGATGTCAGTGCTCATCCAATGGCCCCAGATGGTCAACATTTCCAAAGCCCTGCACTACGGTGTAGTATCTCATAATCTTATCGTACTTTTGGCACGGCTGCTCATTTCGTCACGGTCTGCATGCCAGTTGTTTTGCTCGAAGGGAAGCCCTGTTGATTACGCTGCAGTATATGTACCATGTGACTTCACTTGTGCACTACCGTATATGGTAGTGCTCGTGCGTCATGTGACCATGAAGTTACGTGATCTTATTTGACATTTCGTGGGATTTCTATAAACGCTGAAAAAAAAACACCACGCAGCATGTAAGAACGTTGCCACAAAAATTAGATTAGTTGTATTGGAATGGCGTCTCCAATGTAACGAATGGCACTAAGGCCTAACGTCAATATTAAAAATGTCACATTGAAGATATAGGTTAATAAATAATTAAGCGTAATAATAAAGATTCCCCAACGAGTGGCAGAGGACGGCAAATTATATGCTGCTGCTTTTGTTTACTTGGAGCAACAACTTTAGAAATTGTTGTACAATTACAAGAAAACAATGTGTACAGATAATTTAGGTTCTAAGAGAAGTTACTAGCACTAGAAAAATTGTGAGAAGTGCACATTATTGCTGGTCGTGTGTACCAATACTTTTTATAACTAAATTATAAATATATATATATATATATATATATATATATATATATATATATGAGATATAACAGACAGTAATGCCAAGGAATGTACAGGGGAAGTTATTAACATTAATGGAATGTAAATAAGAAGAAAGAAAAGTGGATGAAAAAATTACCAACTGTAAGCAGGAATCGAACCTACGACCTTCGAATTACGCGTTCGATGCTCTAACCACTGAGCTATTACAGCGGCACTCCCTCCATCCACTTTTTTGGGTTTATCTGTGAATTTTTTTAGAAGTAGGAGCGACAGTCAGCGCCATCTATAAGCCAAACAACGAGTGTGAAAACACTCTTATGCGCATGTTTGGCGTCACGTAGCACGTGAACTTATTATGAGCGGGCAGCTGATTAATTGTCCCTCTTATACAACCTAAACACACCAAGTCTGCCAGTACGAGACCCTCGTTCAATGAAATAAGGGAAAGAAGTGTATACCTAAGGGCTCGTTTTTCCGTGTTTTTAACACAATAATAATGAGATATAACAGACAGTAATGCCAAGGAATGTACAGGGGAAGTTATTAACATTAATGGAATGTAAATAAGAAGAAAGAAAAGTGGATGAAAAAATTATATATATATATATATATATATATATATATATATATATATATATATATATATATATATATATATATATATATATATATATATATATATATATATTATATTGTATTTCTCGAGTTTGATATTATACGAGGCTAGCTCAAATAATGTTGGCATAAAGCATTTACTTCGCGCAGAAATTTGCGAATATGCCTTGTTATTGTTTTTTGAAAAACAAGAGCCTACCCGCCGCGGTGTTATAGTAGTTAAGGTGCTAGAATCCTGACCCGTAGGCCGTAAGACCGCCCCGCCGTGGTGGTATAGTGGCTAAGGTACTCGGCTGCTGACCCGCAGGTCGCAGGTTCGAATCCCGGCTGCGGCGGCTACATTTCCGATGGAGTTGGAAATGTAGGCCCGTGTGCTCAGATTTGGGTGCATGGTAAAGAACCCCAGGTGGTTGAAACTTCCGGAGCCCTCGACTACGGCGTCTTTCATAATCATATGGTGGTTTTGGGACGTTAAACTCTACATATCAATCATCAATCGGGCCGTAAGAACGAATCCCAGCTGGGGCGGTGTCATTTTCGACAAAGGTGAAAATGCTCGAGGCCCGTGTGCTGAGATTTAGGTGCTCGTTGAAGAACCTCGTGTTTTTATAAATTGCTGGAGCCCTCCACTTCGATGTTCCTCAAAATTATATCGTGGTTTCAGCTCATTAAGCCCAAAAAATATGATTAAACAAAAGCCTATCAAAGACGCCAAATTCGAAATAGACGTGCGCTCTGGTGCCGTTACTCAAGCATTTCCGTTGTGAACTTTGATGGATGCATGGCTGCACTATTCTGTGCTGCTCTCACTCGATTTTCGATTCACATGCTCGAACATTATCAAATGCATAACATCTGCGACCGACGTGTATGCTACTCACGTAAAGCTACTGCTATATATCCAAATACAGGGCAATAACAATAATTACAAAAAGTACACGCAACCGTAATGCTAAATAGTAATAGCAAGCAAAGATCAGTCCGTACGTTTCTGCTATTGTCAAGCCTCTCCTTAGGGCTTTTTTTTAAGCTAAAGAGAATCTAAGCAATCTACAATGGACACTGACTCAGCACAATTTTCTCTGCCTAATAATTGCAACCTTGATACTAGAGCTACAGTAATACAGCGTTGACTTTCGGCTGATGTTGTTATTAAATACCTTACAATTTGCCATGACAGTCCAGAAAGTCGCAACATGCTGTCATGATTTCAATTTTTCAGGAAAGACAATATGTGCCACAGTGTACTGTTGATCTAGTGACCCCCATATTCACAATTTCTTTATCTGTATGAGCTTGCATCTTCCCGTGAATGTCTGCCTGCAGTGCACTATATAATACATTCTTTTTTTTTTAAGTTTACCGCAATTGTATGCATCACGCCGTTGCTTATTTTTAAGTTTCTTTCCCCTCTTTTTATGAGTCGTTTCACTTTCTCACAGCTCATGATAATGCATTATTGCCTACTGGTAGACGACCCTGCCATCTGACATCGTTGATAGACAATGTCTGAAATTGCCCATCATTCAGACGCTCATATGCAACAATATTGCCTTTTCACGTGCAACAAAACTTTAATATAGTTTCAGTATATTTTTCACTATATTACATTTCTCACCGATGCATGTTGTCTATTGATTTTCACCACCTCAGATATGTACACCATTATTTATTATTTTGTCCCTATTCTGTCGATGCACTGATTGACCAATGTTGTGTGTGATGCAGCTTTTGTAGTATTTACTATCTGTAGGAGGTCTCAATTCAGTTTTGACAGTTTGGTGTATGCTTGACTCTATATGTAACACATTTTGTGTAATAAGTCATATTGATTGATCGATTGTCTGGTTGAATTTCTGCAATAAGTTTTCTCTTCTATACTGGAAACATAAGGAAACACTGCAGACTCAGCCTTTTTTATCAAAATCTATGATAGCTTAAAATACATTAACATTGCAGAACTGTTATTTAATTTAGGACGCCTTAAACAAAGATAATGCGTCACACGGGTTTCGTACTGGCATGGGAAACTATATTCTCACAATAAATATTCAGACGAAGATCACTCAGATGACATTTCGCGAAGTTTGTAAGCCTCGAACGTTGAGGTCACACCGTTGAGATAACTTCTCGTGTTTACATGTAGTGTCACCTTCGCATCACACTCATCTGTTCCACGTCTCGGTTGTATCCATCTGATTCTTGTGTTAACGTGCTCAAGGACTTGGAGGAGCTTTTATCACTGAAACTCAGAACAGAAACTGCCTGCTGTTGTATGTCTTTATTGAAGAAACTTAAATATAGCAACAAGAAAAATACAACCGCAGGTATGTCTCACTCACAAACAATGACAGAGTTATTAACAAGAATATACAATGGCATGTAAACGTCAGACTCTTCCAGCAGCAAAAATGATACAGGCTATTTGATTTCAGTGCTCTTATGTTTTATTTGGTCACGCCGATAGCACTGCGTTCTTTTCATAAGTAATTGATGTGCTTTTCCATCATGTTCTTCCTTTGTAATGCAGAGCTGCGTGCAGCAACCAAAGCTAGCGCTAGGTTTCTTCGGTGGTAAATCCGTTCTCCAGATATTATGGAGACAGTATGCCCACATAGTACAGCTAGGACCTGTGCCGAAATGGAGCCCAGAACATTCTATCCACCTCAACCTACGTTATTTCGAATTCTGATGGGAGCATTATGGAATTCGTGAAACGCTTTATGAGAAGGGAAGCGTATAGGTGGCTTTCCCTCTCCAGTGTCCTTAGGCGTGCCTCCGGGGATCGAAGGCCTCGCGGTAGTCTGAGTGTCAGGAAAAAGAACACCTCCTCCTGGTCGTGTGCCTGGACCAGACGGTGTAGCTCCAGGCCTTGGTCGTTTTGAACCATAACCAGGTTCTTCTGGGAATGGTTCTGGTGACGGGGGTTGTGGACCAGCACCTGGTCCAGGTCTTGGTCTAGGTGGCCTGGGGGATGGCTCTCCAGGCTCGCCGAAAAGGGCCGTTCCTGATGGCCTCCTTGGTGGTACTTGTGGCCGGACCTGGGTCGGTCCTTGTGGACTTAAAGGTGGAGCTAGCCCAGGAGCCTGAGGGCGGGGTTGTGGCGTGGGTGGTGGCCTTGGTCTACCTTGTCCATAACCTGGTGCTTCAGGAAAGGGTTGTGGTACAGGCTGTGGTATTTCTGGCCTTGCTGGTTCAGGGACATTCGGAAGTGGTGGTGGAACAGGAGGAAGTGGTCCAGCTGGTAGTGGCCGTCCTCCTGACGCGGGTGGCCTGGGCCTTGTAGGGCGCTTGCTTCCATAGCCTGGACTTTCGGGGAAACCCGATGGTGGAGGCACTGGTCCTTGAATGGGCGGTGTTACTTGTGGTTGGGGAGGTGGTGATGGCTGTGGTGGCCGTGGACTTGGTCGTGGTATAGTTGGTGGCGGTGCTGGAAAGCTCGGTGGGACTCTCGTACCTCCCGGACCTTGTGGTATTTGTGGGGATGCTGGACGAGAAGGCCTGTAGGGGGGCGGTGTCACAAATCCTGGAGATGGGGGAGAAGGAGGTGGTATGCGCGATGGTCCAGTAGGAGCTGGGGGCCTTGGAGGGAATGGTACAGGAGTGGAACTTGGAAATTGCGGGGGTCCGTAAGGCGGCCTTGGAGATGGTGGTAGCGGCCTTTGGCTAGTTGGGCCAGGTGGTACAAAAGCTGGTGGCCCTGGGGTTGGAGCTGGTCGTGGTGGTGGAGGTGGCCGTGCAGCTGGAGGCAGAGGTGATGGAGGTCTTGGTGCTGGCGTTGGTCGTGGTAGTTGAGGCTGACGGGAAGACGGAGGGGCAGGTGATGGTGGTCTTGGTAATGGAGATGGTCTGGGTGGTGCAGGTGGCCGTGGTGCAGGAGGCAAAGGTGAGGGAGGTCTCGGTACAGGAGATGGTTGAGGTGGCAGATATGCTGGTGGCCTAGGTGAAGGCACTGGTCGCTGTGGTGCAGGTGGTCGTTGTGTAGGAGGTGCAGGTGAAGGAGGTCTCGGCGTTGGAGATGATTCAGGAGGTAGATATGCTGGTGGCCTAGGTGAAGGAGGCCTGGTTGGCGGAGAAGGCCGTGGGGGTCCAGGTGGTCTCGGTACTGGGCGAGGCGGTGCAGGCACTGGCCCGGGAGGTTCTGGAAATTGTGGAGGACGTGGCTGTGCTGGAGGTACGTATGCTGGAGGCCTAGGTGCTGGTGTAGGACGAAGAGGAGGTCTTGGTTGTTCCGGTGGCCCTGGAGGTCTGGGAGATGGGAAAGGTTGGGCTGGTGTTGGTGGCGATGGAAATCGTGGTGGTCCTGTTGGCCTTGCTGGTCCAGGTTCAGGATATAAAGCAACTCCAGGAGTTGGAGGTGAAGGTCCAGGGCGAGGTCTACCTCCTACTTGTGGTCTGATAGGTTGCTGATGAAATTCATGGAATTTCGAATGGGGTATATCAGAAACAGAAGGTCTTTGGCCTCCTGGACGCCCTGGTTGAGTTGGTCGCGATGATCCTGGTGGGGAGGGTGGCCGAGGCTGAGGGAACTGACCTGAGGTAGGAGGCCCGAAAGGTGGTGGGGATGGTGTACCGGGTCTTGAAGGTGTTGGAGGAGCTGGTTGTCTTGGAGGTGCTGGTGGTCTTGGAGGAGTCCCTGGTATCGGAAAGGGCGGTTGACCAGTGGGTGTTGGTGGTCGAGGTTGTGGTCCTTTTGGTGTAGGTCCAGGGCGGAAACCTGGGCCTAGAGGGGGCCTAGAGGGCGTTACGCCTTCAGGATACAAGGCTACGCCTGGTGGTGGCCTTGGACGTGGGCGTCTTGCCCCATAACCAGGTGCTTCAGGGAATTCAGCACCACCGGACCCAGGGGGTGACACAAATGGAGTTGGAGCTGGAGTTGGTCGTGGACCTGGGCTTGGCCGTGGGCCTGGTGGTGGTCTTGGTGCAAAGGTTGGTCCTGGAGTCGGGGCTACTGGGGGAGGTGGTCCAGGGAACGGTTGCACAGGAGACGGACCAGGGAATGGCCTGGGTTGTGGTGCTGGGGTTGGTCGTATAGGTGGGGGGCCTGGATATGGTCTCAGTCCTGGTGGAGCAAGGGCAGGTCGCTGACCAGGTCGAGGTTGTGGTGGTGGACGCGGTGCAGGGGGTGATGGTGCTGGTACTGGAGGCCTGGGCGAAGGAGGAGAGGGGCCGATTGGAGGCCTCGGACTTGGAAATGGCTGTTGCTGCTGGCCGGGTTGGGGGAATCTGGGTGGTTGTTGGGGCCTTGGAACTGGCGGAGGGGCCAGAGAAGTGGGAGGAGGAGGTCTTGGTCTAGGTCTTGCAGGTCTGCCTCCATAGGATGGGGTATCAGGGAATAGATCTACACCTGGTGGGGGTCTTTGGGGTGCTGGTGGTGAAGGGAACGCAGGTTGTGGTCTTTGGGGTGGTGGGGGAAAGGGTGTTGGAGGTCTAGGTGGTGAGGGTGAACCTCCAGGCACAGGGGGTCGTACTTGGGAACCAGGAGGAAATGGTAGCTGTGGAGGCCTTTGTGGTGGAAGTGATGGTTGTGGAGGAGGTGGTCCAGGAAACCTAGGTGGTGGTGGAGCTTGTGGGGCTGGAGATCCTGGAGAGCGAAGTGGAGGTCCCGGTGGTGGTCCTTGCGGAAACAAAGCGGCTCCTGCCGATGGAGGCTTAGGTGGTTGGGAGGGGTAACCACCAATACCAGGAACTCGCCCTGCTCCAGAACCAGGTTTGACTGGTTGAGCTAAAAATTCATGGAATTTGTGGTGTGGAATGTCATGAACAGATGGTTTTGGTCTTCCACCAGGTTGCGGAGGTGATGGTGGACGTTGCACTGGTGGTCCGGGTACCCGCTGTGGTGATGGTGGCCTAGGTATCTGTGGTGGAATTCCAGGTATGCTAGGTGAACCAGGTGGTGGCTGTGTTCGCGGTGGGAAAGGCCCTGGAACGGGTGCAGGGGGCCCTGGTCGTGGTATTTGCTGTGTTATAGCTGGACCACCAGGAGGTGGTTTTGGGGTTATCGGCCCCAGCGGCGGGGTGGGAGGCCGTGGTGAAGGTGGCGATGGTGGTCTTCGAGGGGGAGAAGGTATGCCAGGCTCACCAAATATGGCTGTCCCCCTAGCTGGTGGAGGTGGTGGTCGTTTTCTGGATGGTTTTGAGCCATATCCGGGAGTTTCTGGAAATTCGTCCTCGAATGTTGGTGGTCCAGGAAATGGTCCCGGTTGAAATGCTGGGGGTTGTGGTTGTCGAGGCGGTTGCGTTGGTGGTAGTGTGGGTCTTATAGTAGGTGGCCTCGGAGGGCCACTTGGAATAGCTGGAAATGGTCCAGGCCCTGGTGTTGGGAAGGAGGGAGGCCGTGGGGGAGCTGGTGATGGTACTGGCCTTGGAGTAGGTCTTGGGAATCCTCCAGGGGTTGGAGCTATACCTGGTGTGGGGAATGCTCCTGGTCCCCCTGGGGGTGGCCCTCTACCAGGCGAAGCAGGAAACCTCCCAAAGCCTAAAACAGAGCAATTAAAAATAATAGGCAATGATTTCTACTTTGTTTAAAATGACGTTCTGGCTTTACTTCTATGAAATGTAAAGTGAGGTGTATTGAACATTTTTAGCCAATGATCTATGCGACCTAATGCCAATATCTCTACTGGTATTTATTTTTGTTATTGCCGTTCTCAAAGATATCACTCGTAGCAGGAGAGAAACAAATATTATGAAACTAAAACAAGAGTGTTCGTTGCTTTTAGCGGAAGGATGAAGTAGATATCCTGGGAGCAGAGCCGACATTGCTTCTGTTGAATCCGTATTCATCGAATTCTTGAGAACATATAAGCGACTGCTAACTTCGTTGACGGTATGACAAGTCAATGCGTCGAATGCACAAGAAGTCATGACTCTCTTTAAATGATGAACCCAAAAAGTGCTCACTACGAGAAGGTGGGGCGTCACGATAACGATAATCACTATAGTAGCAAAGCAAGAGTCAATATATTTAAGCGCATGGAGCGCAAACACACAAAAATGTGGAGAGTGAAGAGAGAGAGACATACAGAGCGAGTATAGTACGTACACTTACACGCTTCTTATATATAGGTATTTTCACTATCTGTGTTACTTTGTGCTTTACCTATCGTAATTTTTCACTATGTTACCGTGCCAAATAGCTCGGATGAAGGCCCGGGTTATCATAGAAGGGTGGCCGAACCGCGCGGCGATGCAGCATGTTTGAGGCCGGCGTGGTCTGCCCGTGCCACTTGAACGTACATAGCATAAGGTTTGGCCGTCGACACAGTATTTTGTAAGCGCCTACAGCGTCACTGCGGCGCACGAAAGAGATGGTTCGGCCGTTTCACGCGTATAACTTAACCCAACGGTTGAGCTGTGGTTACGGTGCTTGGCTGAGGACCCAAAAGTCGCGAGTTTCATCCCAGCCGCGGCAATTGCAGTTGGCTGGAGAGGAACTGTTGGAGGTCCGTGTGCTCCTTGACGCCAGTGCAAGTTAAATAACATTAGACGATCTAAGTTTCCAGTGGTCCCCAATATACGGCATGCCTCGTAATCATATCGTGATTATGAGTACCCGGTACAGTAGTTATTTCAATCATATCGTGGTTTCGCCTCGTGAAATTCGAGAATTTCGCGTTTTAACAGCAGATCTGTTAGACGAGTTTTGTCGCCGTCCGTATGTCTTGAGTAATATGTCTCATGATCACGTTTAACCCAAGTTGTGAGAAAAGGCCTGCAGCAACGCTAACATTGTTCAGAACCAGTTAGAATAAGGAGGAATGGTGTCAGGGTCACGAGGAGAGAAAGGACGAAGGAAGAGAATAAAGCATAGCATAACCTATTGTAATGCAGAAGAGCAAGGGGGTCGGAAATGGAAGATTGGGTGAGGAGGAGTGAAGGAAAGACGGGAAAGAGTAAACCATAGCATTGTATTGTATAGTATAGCTGTGTAGTACTATACTGCGTAGCTGCCCCAATTTTTTCGAATAACATATATAGGGTCAGAATGCAGCTGTCCCTGAGCGTTCACACTTGGAATGTGTTTATATAAGCATACACATGCAGACATACGCGAAAATATTAATACGTGTAGGGACAATTAAAGGCCCACACAGGACAACCACTAACGCTCATCCACGGTGCATATTTTTTGCCCCTGTTTTGTTCAGCTATGTTATGTATTCAAGTGTAAACCAAGTAGCCCGAATTTCAGCTTCAATGCGCACAAACACAATAAACGTAGGTCGAACCCTATCTTCCTGCGAAAAAAAAAACAGAATTCTGGCTAAACCCCTGATTTCATACACCGTTGACGCGCAGTCAACGTTGATGGCAACTTAGCGTCAAATTTTCTATTTTGCAACACTTTCTGGCGATGAAAATTTCACTGTATACTGCCATGGCTATTTTCTAGCTACTTCAAACTTATATTCTGGTGCATTTTAGCCTAACTATTTTATTATTTGCAGATAAAGCATCAAGCAACCTGACAACCACCCTTTCATTCAGTGTTTTCAGACGTGTTGCCCGATGCATGCGCATGTCTCACCCACCAGCCGTCCGGTGCTCACCGAGGCGCACATATACGTAAAGTTTGGTTCGTTTGCCAAGATGGAGGGATGAAGTTTTTGTTCGTCCAACAACTGTGACTGACGTAGGAGGAGGGGTTAAGAATGCGATGGTTTTTTAAACAAAATAAAAGGTACGCATGTGGAAAATATACAATATAAAGTAAAAATTTAAGAAGAAATTAGGTGATCTTTTAGAAGCAGATCAAAACGACGAAGTTGAGCGTGTGTTTGCAAACGCACGGTTTGCACGCTGTTCATGCTGCCTCACATCGATGCTAACGCTACGAGCCAGTTTCAAATGCCGATGCGCAGTACTTATTCTCGTGTGAAGTTCCGCAACAACTCAAATCTGGACCGGTAGTCAACAACCACCTATCACTAGTTGAAGATGAACTGGCGTTATGGTAACTGCTAATAGTTTTCGGCCTGTGATCTGAAGCACGACATGGCTCTATGAATAATTTTCTTTCTGAGTGATTGATTGCACTGTTGCGATCTTAATCTGTCTCTCAATTGCAACTACTTTATCTAGTCTGCATAAACTATATGCAAGCGCAGGGAACTTGTGATTTGTTCATTTATTTGCAACTGGCTTGTGGCTTGAAGACCAAACAAGAGAAAAAAAGCTCTGCTCATATTTTTATATGAAGCTGATTTAAAGTGGCATAATGCCTTGTTCAGTAGAAAAAAAACTATTTTCATAATATCGCTTTTCTACTATGGCGTGGACCCTTTGGCTACTCTTAGTGTAGGTTCTGATTAAAGTGTCTTGATGTTTCCCCTCTAGATGTTTTCCTTTTACTTATTTACAAAGAACTGCCTCCTTTCCTAGCCCTCTCTCCAGCACAGCTGGCGTCTGCCATCATTTTCTTTCTTAGAAGGTTTACATACACCAGCCACGCATTATTCAGCGGACAATATGCTACTGCGAAGCATCTTTCTCCTCCCGCCAATCCTCTGTCATTAGTGAAGTCTGAACGCTTTTCACAAGGTGCTGCACAAACATTAGGAAGAAAATGGCTACCAAAGACGAGCTTTGGCTGGTAATATTCATCGGTGGCGCTTCAATAACTGTCGGTAATTAAGAAATAACAAAAAAATATAGAAATTTTAGTTTTCGAAATTTTTTGAAATTTACCCAACAGCAACACTGCCTTAACGGCAGAAGCCAATTCAAGAAATATACAGTTACCCCCTTTATGTGTCCATCTTGCACCAACTCAATTTTTCTACACATATCTCATCTTTTTAGTTTACTCAGTCACCTGACGTTTTCGGTGCGTTTTCTTTGCTCTCAACAATAGTGCTGCAACTGTAGCATGCCACCAGTTATGTGACGTACACTGCAAGTAGACTTTGCCAGATAACCGTACATGCAACTGGCTATGTAATGCGTATATGCATTACACAGGAAGTGTTGCGGCATTTCTTCTTCTTGATCTCATCCAGAATATCGGTTACATTCGCTTCCTCTCTAATCCACATCCTTGTCTTCTTGTTTCTGAACAGTAGGCTTCTGAATTTTTGTCCATTGGTAGTTTTTAAGGACTTAGCTTCCCTATAAGCTTCGTTAGTGTCGAAGTTTATATCCTATGTTTGAGTACAACAGCTACGCAACAGCTACACGCTACTTAAAAAAAAACTGAATAAGCTGCCGATCATCTCGCCATGGTGGCCTATTGGCTAAGGTACTCTGCTGCTCACCCGAAGGTTGCGGGGTCGGATCCCGGCTGCGGCGGCTGCATTTTTGATGGAGGCGAAAATGCCGTGAGCCCGTGTGCTAAGATATGGGTGCACGTTAAAGAACTCCTGGTGGTCAAAATTTCCGGAGCCCTCCACTACGGCGTCTCTCATAACCGTATGGTAGTTTTTGGGCGTTAAACTCTACATATAATCGAGCTGCTGATTGTGGGCTGAGCGCATGCGCACAAATTAACTTTTATATTATGTTGTAGTATTTTTCTTTGCGACGTTTCAGGTCCGCTGTGTCCAGCTAGCCGATATAGTCGTATTTAGTAATATGTACGTATATACTTTTGCTAAGATTCTGGAGACTTATTGCCGGTGAGGAACTTGTCTTCCACCATATCGATTTTCAAGTGTACTTTCATAAATTATAAGCTAATGTTGAATTCCAAATGCAGATCTAGATCAACTTTTTCTGTTCCGAGTGGGGCAAACACGCTCCAATGAGAGACTGAAAGCGTGAATTGTATGTTCCAGTGGCAGATTGCGAACAACCGCGGGATGCGGATTGCTCCGTGGTACAAGAATTCTTGATCGCCCGAAATCAGTGGATTTGACCGGAAGTGCCCATGCCGTATTCTGCGCGCACGCCTTTCATTCCGTCACAGCCGGATGTTTACGGTCGCAGGCAACCATGAAAGACCAAAATACAGGGCATCCAGGAAAGCAGTTCGTGCCTCTCTCATGCTCCCTCACCATATTGCCGTCTGCATACTGCTCCCGTCGAGGCGCACGCGTTCCGATATCATATTTGGCGGTAGCAATCGCGCTCGGATCGATGGGGTCCGCTCGCGGTCCTGCCGAGCACTCGTGTTCTTCCATTGGAAGTCAACACAAAATACTTGACGATTCGGCAAGTAAGCACTCATCTCACGTGGCACTGAGATAAGAATGTCATGGGCAACCAGTTGGTCGTCAAAATACAACCCTTTGCTTCTCACACCTAACCTTTTACTGTCAGAAATCTTGTCTACGGTCGTGTGTTCCATACGCCTTCCGGCGTCGAACTATGATGCGTTGTCGGCAGGTGTGTTAAAACTGCCCAACTTTATTTCAAGCCTTCTGATTTTGTATTGCAAGAAAGTGATAGCTGTAATAAGTTACTGTGTAGATTTCAAGTAATTAGTTTTAACAATCGGGTAACTAAAGATCTATCTGGTGTCAGGCTAGTCACTGCATACTTTTACATGGAATGAATGAGCTCTCTAGCTCGCAATACGTGGGAAGTTTGTTATTGATCTTATACAATCCGAGCAAATCATTATAGTTTTATTGTGGCTTCTGGCATGGTGATAGTGGAACAGCTTGTTAAATTATGTAGTGTCTTCAGCAAAGAGGTCCTGTACGTGCAACACTACGCAGCACAGTAAATAATAATGAGCTCTGCTTGTTTATTCTAAAAATGTGAACATATGGAAACGTAAACACATGGGCACACCACATTTCAAGATGTTTGAAGTAACACGAAATCACCGAATGCTCGGTTATTGAAAGTATCGAGGAAATAATATGCAAGTGTCCATTGTATCAAGGGATTTTCATTTTGTTGATGAACACGTAAAGCCAGTACTTATTTCGAACAAGATCGTTGTAAAAGCGGCAATATGTAAAATTCATTCAGGAAAGCCATATATAAAAATGATTTACTGAGATGCCTAAATTTTCTTATTTATGAGAAGCGTTATATACATTACATAAGGTGGTATAGTTTGTTGAGGTTGACTGCATTATAACATTGGTCTATTTTTATTCAGAATTACTATGGTGAACACTTTGATCAAAATAGAAAACGAAAAGATAGTCCTAAAATTTATCTTATTACAGCGAAGCTGTTTAGCTATTCGTTAGGCGTGCTTCACGTCACAAGAAAACTCAAGCAGCTCTTATAACGCAGCATAAAACTAATCTTGGTTTCGAGCAGCAATCTAAGACATGCCGTCAAGCGGTAGGAAAGTGTTGTCCCCTAGAGTCACGCCAGTGTTTGACGACGATTCGAAAAAAAAAAGCAAACAAACCTATACATGTGTTTCTTAGTGCGATATGTGAAAGAGAAGTGAGGGTGAGGAGAAATGATGTGATGATAGAAGGAAGAAGAATGAAAAGATGAGTTTGGCTGGTACAAATATTTACCGCAGAAAAAAAGTATGTGCCAAGCAGCTCATCTATCATGGTGTAGTCAATGCATTGCATAGTATACCAAATTGTTGAAAAACGGAAGTGAGAATGAGGGGTAGCGAAGTAAGGGTGAGGAGGAAAAAATGTGCAGGGGGCCCGGCAAGCGGGTATGCGTCACCCAAAGATAAAGGAAATAAAAAGAAGACAAAGAAGTGAAACTGCGTTCGCCAGGTGGTGGTGTTTGCTTCTCAATCCAAGTTAAGCCTACATTTTCTAAGGAAGGTCGCCCAGCTACGGTGTTCCTACAGGCTTGGCACCACTGGTGTGGAACTGCTCTGATTAGAAATATAAAATAAATGAAAAGCATTCTTAGAGCATTTTAGGTTGGCGTTCTTATGCTCCGCCCAACAGCTAAGTGAAGGGGTAGCACTATTGTGCATGCCTCCGCTAAGCAGCGAGTGGGCGAGCTGAGTAGTAAACACGGTCCGAGTACATGCTGCCCACGCGAAGAGTGGAACGTCGCTGCCCTGTTTGCTTACTTCGGCTCTACTTATCTCGCATGACTTCGCTACCACTAAGATGCCCATGAGAACATTGCCATCAGGACTACGAGCTTCCCACGTCTACCGAGGCTCCACCTTCGTCTTCGCAGCACAAATCGCGAAAGCGTTTTCGCATAGATGAAAATCTGGGCTTTCTGATGGAAGTCGCGACCAACACCATCACACGCACATGACGATAAATCTTTCACCGGAAAAATTACCGGCAACTGATCGTTCGTTCATCACAATAAAGCAAATGAGTTTTATGCCAGCTTATGGACTGCGGGTTAAGCCATTCCAAAGAGCTGAATTTGTGGTCTACATATTGTAGAGAACAAGCCATAGTCCACAAGTAATCTACTTGTTTGACGCTGTGGAAGCTTACCTTCAACAGTTTCAAATAGGTTTCCCTTTTGTGAGATTGCGGGCCCATTGCCCGAAATCAAAACCAAGCTACTGTGTGCTGCATCTGTTGCGGTAACTTAAGAAGCGATGATAGCGTCCGCGCAGTTCTGAAGGCACGCGCGTGGCCTATACATGTTCACAATCGAACGAAACGGCTGAAGACCACATCCGGTGCATAATAAACTTGGCTAGCTAATGAAGTATTATGGATGGCGACTGAAGGCACAAAACAAAAATAAAACTACTACTTATCGCCGTCTTGAGCCCAGTCGCTATCTACGCGACTGAGACCACAGAGTATACGGGTGAGTGGATTTATGTCTGCGTTAAAAATGAAACAAGCCTAACACAGACGCTGAGGCTTTCTTCACTAATGCAGTGATTCTGGTAAGCTTGTAAATATGGCAACGCCTTTTTGAAAAGCCGCCACTGTTCCGGTTGATTGCGAAAGCTACTTTCTTTCCATTGCGCCCCGCCGCGATGGTCCAGTGGCTATACTCGGCTGCTGACTCGCAGGTCGCGGGATCAAATCCCGGCTGCGGAGGCTGCATTTCCGATGGAGGCGGAAACGTAGGCCCGTGTGCTCAGATGTGGGTGCACGTTAAATAACCCCAGGTGGTCGAAATTTCTGGATCCCTCCATAATCATGTGGTGGTTTTGGGACGTTAAACCACACATGTCAATCAAATTCTTTCCATTGGGTTGCGAATCAGCGGCACTTTTTGCTTGTCCATGTTCCGAGGATTGTCAGAATTAACCGTGTCACGGTGAAATTTGACCTGTAGTTAAGGAGAGCTTGCAAAGTCAATAAAGAAGGCGTATGTTGACCGGGACCAGAGAACACGTCCGAATTATCCGATTTTCAGAATTAACGGGGGATGATGTAGTGAAGTTTTACTGTATCATTTTCAAAAACCATACTTTCTTGTACTTAAATTAGTCTAGAGGCATGCTTGAACTACTGGAGGTCCGCTTCTCTGCGCGAGACGCATTACTAAAGCTCGATACTCTTTCGTGCTCGGTTGTACCTCAGCGGAGCAATCCAGAGCAAAGCAGACCGCAAGGAAACCAAACTAAAACACTTCATCTTTACGTTGAACAACGCTGCGTTCGGTAACGTCCACATGGGGACTTGCACCGGAGACGCGCAGACGCCGTTCTGAGTCCGCACTACACTTTTGTAATCAGTCTGTGCCTTGTATTTCGCTCCTTTGAAGTACTTCCCTACAAATGTGTGCAGAAATCGTTGGCTCAAGCTTCTATTTCTCATGTAAATATACCGTGTACTTGGAGGCATTGTTCAAGTAGCTGGACTGGCAGAAAACGGGAATTATGGGTGACAGAGAACGGCTTAACAATCTATAATTTGCAGATGATGTCGTGCTTTTCAGTAATGATACCAAAGAATTGCAAAACAACAATTGAGGAAATAAACCAAGGATGTATTAAGTTAGGCCTTAAATTAAATATGGTGAAGACAAAGATAATAATGAGTGGCCTGGTGAAACATAAGTTTTTAAGATGAAAAATTTTATACAAAAATATGTATACCTAGTACTACTCATGGAGAAACCTAATCACACGCAAGAAAGAAGAAATTCACCAATTAATAATAATTGGCTAGAGAACATTGCGCCGGCACTGTCAAGTGATGTCAGAAAATGAGCCTCTATCATTGAAAGGAAAAGTATGCAACCACTGCGTACTGACAGTTTAGACGTATATCGCTGAAACATGAAGAATAACGAAGCTGGAGCTAAAACTAAGGAGCACTCAGAGTGCAATGCAACGTAGAATGGTAGGAATAACACTGAGAAGACGAAAGACAGCAGAATGGGTAAAAGAACCGACAGGAAATGCAAATACCCTAACTGGCACCAAACGAAAAAAAAAAGGACCTGGGCTGGTCACGTAATGCGTAGAACAGACAATCAGTGGACATAGAGAGCAACAGAATGTTTACCAAGAAATGGAAAACGCAGTTGGGGAAGGCAGAGTTAATGGAGTGACCAAATTAGGGAAATCGCAGGGATAAAATAGAATGAGCTCACACAGGATAGCTTAAACTGGAGATTGTTGGGAGAGGTCTTCATCATGCAATGGACTAACAAATAGTGAGAATGATCATGATGATGACTTCTTTATTAAACCTGCGAGGTATAATTGCGTTCTTGTATCATTACGTAAGCCTGCTGCACAATGGGAGTATATTCACACCCGATGTGTCGTGGTTAAGGTTCTTTATGTGCACGTAGCTTAGCAATCGAACTCTAACTGAGCTGGAACAGTCAATATTTGACTGTCATGACTACTTAGTGGCGTTCGTGCTGGTTTTACAGCAATACGCAAACAATCATTTACCTGATGGTGGCCTCTCTGGTAGCCTTCCCTCAGGATAAAGTGCTACTCCAGGCCGTGGGCTTGGACGTGGCCGAGCTGGCGGTGAGGGGTAGCCGGGTGTTTCCGGCAATGCTGGAGGAGTGGGTGGTGGACCAGCTGGAAGTGGTTGTCGAGGTGGCGGGGGTCCCCTCGGTGGTGATGGTGGTGACAGAAATCCTGGTGGTGTCGGTGGCCTTGACGGGCGACCAGGCCCTGGCGGTGGGGCTCCTGGCCTCGGTGGAGCGGGTATTGGGAAATCTGGTGGTGATGGCGGCCTTAGTGGACGGCCAGGCCCTGGTGGCGGCGGACCTTGTGGTGGTGGTCCGAGTGGAGGACCAGCTGGTCTTGGGGGCGCTGGTGCTGGATAGCTTGGAGGTGGCCTTGGTGGCCGTTGTGGACGTCCAGGCCCTGATGGTGGACTGCTTGGTCGTGGTGGTGCAGGTGAGGGGAATCCTGGTGTGGACGGTGGCCTCAGTGGACGACCTGGTCCTGGTGGAGGTGGCCCTAGTGGTGGTCCCAGTGGAGGTCCTCCAGGTCTGGGAGGTGCTGGCACGGGGTAGCTTGGAGGAGATGGTGGGCGACCAGGCCCCAGTGAAGGAGGAGCTTGTCTAGGAGGAAGTGGAGTGGGAAAGCCTGGTGGAGATGGTGGCACCAGTGGACGACCAGCTCCTGGGGGAGGAGGTCCCTGTGGAGGAGCGCCTGGCCTTGGTGGTGCTGCTATGGGAAAGGTTGGCGGAGACGGAGGGATGAATGGCCCTCCCAGTGTTGGTGAAGGCGGTCTTGGTTGTTGTCCTGTTGGTCTCTGTCCTGGCACACCCGCTCCAGGGAATAGTGCGCCTCCAGGTCTAGGTGCTTTGGGTCCTGTGACAAGGAATTCGTGGAACTTGTGATGAGGTATGTCAGAAGGCTTCCGTCCACCAGTGACTGGTCCACGTTGTGGTGATGGTGGTCTGGCTGTTCCAGGGGGAGCAGGCCCACCAGATGTTACTGGTCTGGGAGGCCCCGGCGTCGTGGGACCCACTCCTGGTTGAAAGAAGCCTGGTGGTGGTGATGGTGCCGGAAATTGAGGGGGTGCCGGTGGTGGTGGGGTCCCCGGAATCAGAAAGCCACCTGGCCTAGGTGGCTGAGGAGCTGCAGGTGGAGGTCTTCCTTCAGGAAACAAGGCAACACCACGAGGAGGAGAGGGTGGAGGACCAGGAGGTCGGGGAAGAGGGAATGGTGGCGGTGCCTGGGGGCGTGGCAAAGACGGTGGCCTGGGAGGCGCAGCCCCAGGTTGAGGGCCTGCCGGAAACCTAGGTGGCTGAGGTAAGGGACTGAGGCCAGGTCGTGAAAGAGAAGGAGGAGGGCGCCTTGGGGGTCCATATCCAAAACCATCCTCTGGTGGACCAGGAGTTACAGGTGGTTGCCCTGGCCCGGGCTTCGACACTCCAGTTTGCACATCGAATGAGATACCACCCACTCCTGATGGTGGCCTAGCGAATGGTGGAGGTGGCGTTGGAGGAACACGGCTTGTGCCGGGTGCTGGTGGCCTGGGAGCTGGTGGCCGGGGCGCGGGTGGTCTTGGAGACGGTGGTGGCCTTGGAGCCGGAGGCCTTGAAGTTGGTGGCCTAGGCGCGGGTGGTCCTGATGGTGGAAATGGAGGTTGTGGCAAAACAGGTGTCTTATCCGCGGGAATGAGAACACCAACAAATTTTGGTGGTTGAGGCGCTGCAGGTGGCGGTGAGGGCCTTGGTTTGGGTGGCTGCCGCGGAGGAGCTGGCGGCAAGTCAATAGTGTTGATAGGATAACCGCTGAATACTGGTGGCCTTTGAGGTAGGTCAGGTGGTTCGTACTCTAGAACGGGACCAACAATTTCTGGCTCGAGCACATTACTGGGTGGAAGAAGGGGTCCCTCAGGCCTTCCATACCCTCCTGTTCCCCTGGATGGCGCAGGGGGTTTCTGAGGCTCGTTTGGTGGCTCGAATGGTTCTCCGAATAAAGCAGTTCCTGGTGGTCTCCGTGGAGGTGTGGTTGCGCCAGGAGGAGCCACCGGCTGACCGGATGATCCTGGTGGCGGCCTCGTTGGTGGAGGCGATGCAGCCCCTCCGCTCCCTGGTGACCTTCCTTGCTGAAAGGGTCGAACTGGTTGATTGTGGAACTCGTGAAAAGCTTCGTGCGATGGAAAAGGCTTGGCGACATTTGTTTGGGCTGCTTCTTCTAGATCTTCGTACAAGCTTTCGACGAAGCGCGCCAGCCGCACCGCCACGTCGTCTTCTCTCCTTGTTTCACCATCGTAATGCTGTGGCTCTGCCCCCGCGGCGACCAAGAGGCAGACGAACAAAGCCACAGCAGAGGCATGTGGTATCTGGAAGGAAGATGGGCGCATTAAATATCAGAATTTTTTGTTATGCTGTTAAGTTCAAAATGAAGTGCATTTAATTGAGAAATGGAAAACTTGCTATCCTTCTCTACGAAGTATCTTGAACCTGGAAGTCTTCAGCAATGCAATAGCGGGCCTGTTCATACTAGTCAATGGGATAACGTGCTCCCCGAATGCTTTATAACTTAATTAATCATTATTAAAGACTGAACAATAACTATTTACAGACCACTCACACTGAGAAAACAATGTCATATCTTTGCAGGGTGAGCTGTTTTGCATCATATTGAAAGAAAACAGCCTTGCTATTACGAAATACTTTTTTGCACCTGAAGCGCAAAACCGAATATATTAAAGCAGCGTGACATTGTCTCGTTACCTAGTCACACACGATTGAAGTGTACAGAAAATACTTCACGTTGTATCAATCATAGCATTTATTGTGGAGGACCATGTTAATTATGTGGCACACATGTTATGCGTTTCATTGGGGTGCACGTACGTCGACTGTCATCGGAACATATCTCGGAGTCGAAGCCAATTTACTGTTAAACAAACTTGTGTTCCGCCAATTTAGCATAACCATTCTCAGCAAATTGCCTCGGAAGTTTGTTCGGGCAAGAAATCCATCAATGAAGCAGGTAAATGAGGGCTATTGAATCTATGTCGCAAGCAAATGAATTAGATTTATTGTGCCTATGTGCCACTAAAAGATTCGTCACGTGTGGGGCCATGTTTGTCTCGTGTTATCTCAGGAGCCTCGACTACCGATCAGCAGCGTTGCGTGATCATGCTGAAAAAGTATTGCAGTGCCCACTTATTGCTGCACTGCGCTGTTCAAGCATTTAACGGGGAATTTTCATACGTATGAATTGCTGCCTGAACGACCATATGAAGTCGTTTTTTCAATGACGTACTCGATGAACTTTTAAATGCTGAGTATCTCTACGTAACCGCGGAGTATAGTATTAAAATTTAAATATATGCTAAAAAGGATTACTGAGGCATACTGTAGAAATGTATTCATTGAATAGTATTACCAGAGATAGGCACGTTACTTACTGTGAAAATAATAACCTAGAATGGAATCATTGCAAAACAATGTCAAAAGATGTTTCTGATCGGTATTCGAGGCTCCTGTGAACATGTGAGCCAAGCATTATAGCACAAGACGCGGCTTGGGAACTTACACTTAATTCTCAGACTGCTCTAAAGGGCTCACTACTTTCTCGATAAATTTTTGTAAAAAGACAAAAACCCAACTGATCAAGTCATAAAGTCTACGGCTATTGGCTTATTTGTTTAGCATCGTGAGTTGCATATAGTCACCACGGCCACCGCCGGATGCCGTAACGTGCCCACGCGCTCGCTCGCGGTCACACTGAAAGTAAGTAGCGCGTTTGAAGAGACAAAATAGAAGAAAGTGGTCAAGGTCATGACGGGCACTGATAAACAGACGTTAGCTTCTTGTCCTTTTGTCACACCCCTCAACTCACCCCCCCCCCCCCCCCAAGTCCTCGCTTTCGTCTTGGTTGCTGGCTGGAATGAAAGGAAAGAGAAAGCGCTTAAAAGCGTGCGGCAAATCCTCATAAGCCCGCTCGCACTTGTCGGAGTGGAGAAGTTTTTGCCGTGGTTGGTTCGCGAGGATATGAGCCCCTTTAGGAACGCCATCTAGTGGTTACTTGGAAAAGTGTGGCAAGGCCACTTTGAAAAAGTAAATAACGTGAAACCCCGAGCAAGCGTCCCCCTCCCTTTTTCACGAAATTGGAAATGTGCGCCAACGACTGAGAAAGCGCCCCCCCCCCCCCCCCCACACACACACACCCCGCGACCCTTCCACCGTTTTTTTTTCATTGTTTCTATTCACCCAACGAAGGTGACTAAATAAGTGAATGCATGCGTATTCAATAAAAGATTTCAATAGAAGCATACGCGGCATTTCCACCGCCATCTTGAATTTCGACCCGAGCCTGAACAAGACCCTTTCTATATTATCTCAGATCTTGTAGCATTATCTTTCCCCGTTGGCGCGGGGGAGGGCAGTAGCTTGCGCTGCGGCAGTCAGTAAATACATAAATTTACAAGCTCCGGGTATAACTTACAACCTACGCGGCATCTTTTTATAGCTAGTAAAAACAGTAAATGGTGCCGTCACTAGCGAAGAAGGTTTTCTTAGTTGTGTAAAGTAGGTAACCACTGAGCCACTATTTTTCTTTCTTGATGCTTCGTAGATATATGTACCTATTTAGTAACGGTGTCCAAAAGTCTGTAGCTAGATAAATATTTTTTCTGCCCCAGACTGACAACGAAGGTGTATGTCAGGATCTCCTCAAATATCGCCAAGATTATGATTGTTAAACAAAATGGTCATAACCATTTTAGTGTAGGCATGTAGGCAAGTATAGAAGCTTTAATTGAATAATCTAAGCCATATGCTGCACATGCACAAATACATAGATGTATAGCATCTATCATAAATGTCTAGAAATACGTTTTTAACATGACGTATTATTGTGCGGTCCGCACATTTGACTTCGTATTCGGAATAAATTATATAGTTTTTGCTTCCCGCAATGGTTTAAAAACACTTGGTGCTATGAGGATACTGCAGGAATGATGTTCGAGATTTCTGAATCAGCAAGATAAAGTTAAATTGCTGGTTTCCGTATTTTATTGAAGAAATCGTGATGCCAGTTTATATGAAGATGTGTGCGATAGTCGCCACTCAAATTTTCGACAAATTTTTGTTACTTATATAAGAGCAGCAGGGAACACAGTCAAATACGTAAATTTAAATTTGTTCATTTTCAGAAGCTCACAGGGAGAAAAATTAAGAAACTAGCGTTAAATTTCAGTAATATTTGAATAAAATATCCAGAAAATTGCATTTATTTGTTGGTGCGTTTATTTACTCTTGCATTTGTTGTATTCTTATATATCACTGCGCTCTTTAAATCGGGTAAAGCAGTTAGCAGCGATGTTAACTAATGTCACTGACCAATACGGACTTTCACAGCTTACTTGCACGCACACAGATGCACGGAGGCAAATCAAGTTGAACCACCGTAGTTCTGCTACGCCTACTGGCGGTAATATTCTGTGCGGTTATCGTTACAGTCGCAGAAAAAAATTGAGAGAAATGGTACTTTTATCACATTTTATTTAAAGTATTATGTTGCGTCATGGCTCACATATGTGCAAACAGTGCAAGGACTGAAACATCAAATATTCTTCTAAATTTACGGTCATAGGCATGAGCATCCTTCTCCATTGTGGGTAGCGCAGTTTTAAAGGAGAGCCCCCCTCTCCCACCTCTTTGGACTAGCCGAAACGGCAACGAGCTTTGCAATAAAAGCAAAAGTAAAACTGTAAAATCCTCACCATACGTATTCGTCGCAGCACGTGAGCGCGCGGCTTTTTACTTGCCTTTTGACGCGCTGCAACGCGAAGTACGTGTGGTCAGGCCTTTAAGCGATCGTGCTTCTCGCAACAGCCTGAACTCGGTCGCGGGCTTTCTTGTGCTAAAGATGGGAAGCAAACAGTTTTTAGAATGCAGCATCTGGAGTCGTTGTCTACAAGTGTTGTTAGAAACCTGTGTCTCCTTTTTTTTTTGGAGGCACAGGAAGCAGGATTTCGCTATGGGGAACGGTTTATCAATTAAACTTCTGTGAAGACAATATATATGCCTCTACTGGTGATTTCTGGTCGTTTTTGCCTGCCGATGGTTCCAGCTCGAATCAGTGCTGTGGTCTAATCTTTATTTCTATGGTTATGCAGTGGTATAAAACGACACATGATATAATTAACCAATGATATCCAACATATTCAAGAATAAAAGCAAAGCCGGGAGTCAGGCTCATCACCATACCCCCTCTTCACCCTCTCAATCTGGAACGTTCGTAGCGAACGCCGTATTCCAACGTTAATGGATGAGAGTCCCACTTTCGTAATTTTGCCACTCTACGAGATTGACTTTCGTTCGCTCCCTGTATCGCCGACGCACCTGCGGCTCTAACGGTTGTCGGTATGTGCTGCAGTACAGAAACGATCACCGCTCTATTTCGTGCTCGTTCAAAGAGATTGAGACTCACGCGCTACATATCGGCCAGAGCGCAGCCACCTTATTCGTAATCGCACCGGCGAATGAAGTGGCTGCGCATCAATTCTCCTGGGACCTTCGCGGTCGTCCGTGCGTGCTGTACGCCTGCTTTCCTTTCTCGCCCCTCTCTCATAAGCACGCGCATCGTGCATATACACAGCGAACCGTGTACTGGCAAAAGTATCGCGGCCAGGCCAGGGATAATTACCGGGCCATGTGTGCAGGCCGGTTGCTGCGGGCAGCGTTGGGCGCTATAGGTCGCGCCGGCCCGCGCAGCGTGTTCGCCGTCGTCTCAACCTTGAAGCTCGCGCATCGAGCGCGTTCCCAATAATCTTGGCCGAATCTCGGCCAGTACGCCATCGATTTCACCGGACCAGACAGTGGCGGTATCGCACGCGCCGGCGAATGAACAGGGCCGGATGCGGTCGGGTCCTTCGCGCAGCAGGTGTCGCCGCGGGCCGTGATGCGCCCGAGAGGGCGAGGACGCGCTGTGTCCCCCCCCCCCCCCCCCCAAATCGCGTCGCGGTGTCGTTGCGAGAGCGCCCTTGCGTCTTGGAGGCAGAGAGACAGGCTTCCTTGCCAAGGTCCGCGGACTCTCACACGCTTCCTTTCATGCTTCACTTTCCGGCCAAGAAAAATGACCGTCCTCCTCCGGCCTACCTGGACGGCGGTGCGTAGGCCGGAGGTGCGAGAAAGAAGTTTCGCGTAGCAGCGAGCGGTGCCGTGCATGCAGGGTCACCCGCCGAGGCCTTATGACACTATCATGACTTCTTCTCGGCCATCGAGTGCGCAATACCTTGATATATAACGGCTTACTACGGTGTGCATATCACTGTCCCTCACTTCCCCTCTCCCCACGCGTCCCAATTTGAAACTTGCTTACTGA